CTCGTCTTCATCTGCTTAATTTCCTGAATCCAAGCAGTCAAGATTGGATAACTCTCCATTTACAAGGTGTTCAAGGAAGTCTATGACTTTATACTCTAAAGGAAGATTGTGTGAAAAACAGGTTATATACATAAAATAAATCAATTGTGAAGTCATAGCTTAGCTATGAAATGCTTATAGGTATTTTGTTTCTTTGCATGAACTAACTGAGTTCTGGCTAATATCGCTTGACTCCTGATGTCCATTGGGATGGACATTCAACTTTGAAAAAATCCTATAACTTAATGAAATGAAATATTTTCAAAATAACTTGAAATATTAACACTTGAAATTGTTAAAATTATGCTGAGAGAAAATGTATTAGGCTAGCATGAACATAAATTTAAATTTTTAATGAAAAATAGGCACTTACTCCTCCCTCTCTCGAGCTTCAGAGCCATGCTTGTCTTGTCTGATGTCTGAAGCGGTCTCAGATCAAGTTAAAAGTAATTTCTCCATTGTGATTGGATAATCAGGAACCAATCAGTAATAAGCATTATTCAAACAATGAAATTAGAGATTTTTTTATTGATTTAGACACAGAAATATGTAATGTCCATTCCAATGAACGCTAGGACTGAAGGGGCTAGGCTACACAATCATGGGGAAGACTGCTGATCTGACAGTTGTCCAGAAGACAATCATTGACACCCTTCACAAGGAGGGTAAGCCACAAACATTCATTGCCAAAGAAGCTGGCTGTTCACAGAGTGCTGTATCCAAGCATGTTAACAGAAAGTTGAGTGGAAGGAAAAAGTGTGGAAGAAAAAGATGCACAACCAACCGAGAGAACCACAGCCTTATGAGGATTGTCAAGCAAAATCGATTCAAGAATTTGAGTGAACTTCACAAGGAATGGACTGAGGCTGGAGTCAAGGCATCAAGAGCCACCACACACAGACGTGTCAAGGAATTTGACTACAGTTGTCATTCTAATTTGTTGAGATAGTGAATTGGTGGGTTTTTGTTAAATGTGAGCCAAAATCATCACAATTAAAAGAAACAAAGACTTAAACTACTTCAGTCTGTGTGCATTGAATTTATTTAATACACAAGTTTCACAATTTGAGTTGAATTACTGAAATAAATGAACTTTTCCATGACATTCTAATTTATTGAGATGCACCTGTAACCCAAAAATGTCACCATTCATGTTTTTCCAAACCCGTATGATTTTCTTCCATAGACAAAATGTACAACATAGGCTTATTGACTGTAGTTTCCAGTTCAAATTAACAGGCAGTAAAACACTAACACACCTTTAGTCCTTTTCTCACAAATTACGATTATAGGCAGATTATCGATTAATATGTTAGTTCTGTTCCTTGGAATTGAGCAAATTTTGGATGAATAAAACAAAAGTAGGGCCATTAACTTAATCCATATTTGAGAGCCTGTCAAAAATAAGTTTTTTTAATTATATTTAAAAAGATTAATGAATGTTTTATGCCTTCATTTGATTACCACTGTTTTTGATAATAGATTTATATTAAATTATAAATCCTGAAAAAATCAAACAGACACTGAATTTATGAAAAAATAAAAAAGATTTCATAGGGCCCTATATGTTGTGATCTCAAATATCTTTTACCAAAGTGCATTATTTGTGAACTAAAACATTTGCATCACATAATCAGCTATTCTTTTCTAACATATTAACCTTTCTTGGTAGTTTATTTGGTACAGCATTGCAGTTACGATGTTGAGCACTCATAATAAAAGGGCTCACAGAAGCAAGCTAAAATGGCATGGATGCATCAGTAAATGCATTTGATCTCATGTTTGCTTATTATCACTTAGATGGTATGTTATTTTTAAGTTGATGCAATAGAGAATTAAACTTTTAGCGCCACTCATCATACACAATACGTACAACAACCAACATAATAAACCACTGGCAGACTCACATTCATCTTTTTCACATAAATCTGAACACTTTTAGTGCCAATCACTGGACATTTCGTCTGGAAAGTATCGCAAAACGTGCAGGAAGCAACATAATATCGTTTTGCAGAAAGGCTGCCACAGGCACATTTTTCCAGTGAGCCTTGATTGAAAATGTACGTCTGTTAATCGCACAAAGCTTGTGTAGTTTTAAAAGATGTACTTTTTTGTTCATTTTGAAGCTTGATGGCCAATGTATGCTTTTATTGTATGGAAAAGAGTAGCTCGGACATTCATCTCAACATCTCTTTCAGGCTGGGTCAGATGGGTTTGGAACAACATGAGGATGAGACCAGAGTCTTATATTTGTCAGTTTTACTTGATGTGTCATCAAACGCTGGTCACTTCTCGTAAAGGAAGAGATTAATTGAGCATGGCTTTAGATGCAGGGTAACCACAAACCCCTGATTTTTGTTATTTTCTGTCAGAGAACGAAAGACCATGTTGTGCGTTAAACTCTCAGTTGGTCACCCTGCAACTTGACTGCTAGTTTTGGGCATGTTGCTGCCAAGCTTAGCCACAACTACACCAAGCAATAACACCAGTAGCACTGCTTTCTTCCTGCTCTGTTTACTCCGCTTGCCACACTTTCCCTGTGTTTGATCCCTCAGTCAAGTGAGCACTTCTAGCAAGTGAAGTGCACTTGACGCACAACTTTAAAAGACAATGCTAACAGTAGTCATTGACTGGGCACAGTATGCTTTCCATGTGTTTCGTCAGTGGCTAGAATGTGTAGTGTTTTTCTAGCAGTTTTTATTATACATTCTTGACTACAGCAAACCTGAAGTTAATATGTGGCAAATGTGCTGCAGTGTTTGCTAGAAATTTGCTTTAACGCTATAAAAATGATTTATATAGACACCATTTTCAAATATGGTGTCAGTGCTGTTTATTTAGGGTGACCATATGATTTCTAAATTGCTCAAAATGTCCAGGGTTTTGGCTTTGTTTTCCTAATGTTTTTCAGACTTGCTGAAGGTAATGACTGAAAAGTGCAGTGGCCAGTAACATGCAGGCATTGTACACAATCGACCAATCGTGGCTTGCGAGAAGGCGGGAATTACAGAGAATGGCCAAAACAGTGCAAATACGTGTACATATAATGTATGAGGACTGTAGAGAAATAGTCTATAGGAAAACAAAGTCAAACTTGGACATTTTAGGCAATTTAGAATTTAAAAAAATAAATAAAGGATGTAAAAATGGATGTTTGGTCATCCTATGTTTATTATAATCTACAAAATGGCATGTTTTTTTGTGTTTTTTTGGTTTAAAAATACATTTTTTCATACATGTAATATTTTGTTGTTTTTAATTTCTAAATTTAAATTCATTTTAATATATTTTTGTAATATTGGGATAATAAAACTGTCCTGATATAATGAAGAAAAACCTCACTGATAGGAAGTTCTTAAAAACTCTTAAGTAGGTATAGTTCAGCATGTTTTTTAATAAAAAAACAGTGAAGTAGTTTTGTTAAAATATTCAATATATATATATATATATATATATATATATATATACTGTATATATATATATAAAACTTTTGCCCTCCAAAAAGTCATTTGGTGTTATGACATCAATAAACATGCAGGAATTTTTTTTTTTATAAATTATAAAATAGAAAGGACCCTGCAGATCCCTGCAAACCATCTCGCCCCATTAAAAAAAAATAATGAACGAATAATTAACTATATTTGTTTAAAAAATATTTTTAAAAAAACTTAAAATGTATACCTTTTTTTTTGGAAAATAATACACTTATTCTAGGTATAAAGACAATATTTTGGTACTTTTTTATTGGTGGTTATGCCACATATCATTTTTTCATTTCATTAAGTTAATTTAAGTTCAATAAAACTAAAAAAAATTTTCTTTGAATGTTTTTTTGTTTTTTTTTGGAAACCATATGAAATCAGCAAAATGGTGTCGGAAACTTTTCACTCAGAAACTGCTAATACATTTCACAATGAATTCATAGAAACAGCAAGTAACAGTAAATTTAATTTAGAAGTAGAAAGGCTGAAATAGCATCTTCCTGTAAAAAGTACTCCAGTAGTTTTTGTTTTATGTGACTTCGAAAAATAGTTTTTTACATTGTTGAACACTCTCATTTGTCAATGACCCACAAATGCTTGGGTTGAAAAAGCCCAAAGTATACTTCACTGTTTATGCTTACGCGAGGGACAGCATACAGTGCGCGTGACACGAATTTCGTCATCAGAACAGTACTGTACGTACTGTACGCGCACCACTCGACCCGCAGGTCATTAAAGCATTAAAGTTATTTTGCACTAATCTGTTGTTCCTCAAGGTGGCAACACCGTCCCGCTCCGTTGTTTCACAGTAGAAAACGAAACAAAAGAGACAGAACAACAATAATAGAATACAACAAAATAGCAGAGACTGCAACAACAACAGACGCTCACATTGACAAGTGCTTGTGAGCGAGAGGGTATGAGACAGCTCAGCTTTGGTTTAAAAGAGTTAAAAAATATTTGTTATCGGTCATAACTTGCAGGGAAAAATAGAGCAGACACTGAACATGGATAAAGCTTTCTAGTGCACTTGTTTCGACCGCCCGCATTCGTGCATAACATCAAATGGAGTATACTTTGAAAGGCTACGCGTTCGCCGCTAGCGTACGCGCACAAAAACGAAGTATACTTGGGGCTTGTCAGTCTTAAAGCGATAGTTCACCTTCTGTTGCTAGTCCACATTTACTTCCATAGTATAGTAAAAAAACACTTTTTAAGTCAATAGGGACTAGAAACTGAAAGTGAACTATCGCTTTAAGATGAAGAACAGTCAGTCAGGGAAAAGTCTTTCCTGACTCATTCCGTCTTGTTTTTCTCTATGCAGTGGTGCATGAGGTGCGCAGTGTGGACGGTGCAGTAACCAATGGCGTTCACCAGCTCAGCTCTTCAGAGGTGGAAGAGCTCCTCCACAAGGCTGATGAGGTGACCATGAGCGAGAGCGGCAAGACTACGCCGCGACTGGAGCGAGGGCAGGCCGAGAAGGTGGAGAAGGTAGAGCAAGATGTAGTCCCAGCCGCAGCCCCCATAAAGGAGATCACGGGTGTAGAAGCCCAACCTGCCGCGGCCCCTCAGACAGAAGTGGGCGGAGCCAGTGCGGAGAACCCAGTCACAATGGTTTTCATGGGCTACCAGAGCGTTGAAGACGAGGATGAAACAAAGAAGGTTTTGGGGCAGGAGAGCACGACTGTGAAGGCTGAGGTGGTGCTCATCGAGGACGGAGATGCCAAGACTGCCGCCGGTGATGCCAAGCAGGAACAGGCGCCCCCTAATGGCAGCCCAGCAGAGCCACCAAAGGCTGAAGAGGCGGCAGGCGAGTCGGGGCAGCCAGAAGGGGGCGCTGCGGAGGTCAAGAGCAAGGAGAAACAACCCTGCAAGTGCTGCACCATCATGTGAGCCCAAACACAGACTTTACCGATCAAATGCAACAACATACAGAGAGAACAACAGCAAGGCTGAGAGGAATAAACGTTCAGTATCTTTTGATAGAAGCTGTTGTTTCTTTAATTGATTTTTACCCATTTTATATTTCTATATTACTTTTTTCCCCCTTGATCTTCTCTAACCTCATAAAATTTTAGTTTTGTTCTTTTTTCTTTTTTTTGTGGCTGAAATTAATGGTGTCATATGCGCTCCTGTGAGAGAAGTATGAAGATTTGACCCTTTAACTGAAATGAACTGATCAAACCCCTTTAACCAGCATTTACTTTTCACATTTTTTAGTCTTACCTTTCCATATGGAAGATTCAAATATTTCCCATAATTGTATAATATATATGATTTTTTTTAAAAAGCCTGTTTATTTTGAGTTCCCTTTTTGCAGAGCATGTGTTGTGTGCACTACAAAGTATTTTCACTTTCACATCAAAAGAAAAGATTGAAGAAAAGGATTGATCTCAGCACTGTATTTATTACTGATGAAGCTGTGAGAAGTATTGCAATTATTATTATTTTATTATGTTTTTCGAATTAGGAATAAAACCTGTGGGATTGACAGAGCACACTTTGCATTTGCTTAGAAATGACGAGATTGTTTTAAACCATCATACAGGAGTTTTAAAGGAACGTTCTGGGTTCGATACAAGCTGAGCTCTTGATTAATACAGAAAATAGTTTGGACTCATCCCTCAGTTTGTAATGAAATTTATTTATTTTCTTACAAAAATGTAAAAAAAATTTTTTTGAACATATGAATTGTTCCTTACAAAAAATGTTTCTGGAGCTGTAAAGCTGTAAAGTTTGGGGTCTGTATTTTTTAAATGCTTTTGAAAGACATTTCTTATGCTTACCGAGGATGCATTTATTAGATCAAAAATACAGTAAAAACTGTAATATTGTGAAATATTATCATAGACGATCACGTAGTATCATTCATTTATTAAAGCTTAGATACACACCAAGGATTTTGCCTGTAACTACATCTGGTTTTAAAAACGTTACAAATTTCTCTACTGATGGCCATTTAAAAGTAGCTTTACATATATTTATTTGATCAAACAGTAAAAAGTGAAATATTATTATAATTAAAAATAACTCTTTTCCATTTGAATATATTTTGAAATGTAATTGATTCCTGAGTTTTCAGCATCATTACTCCAGTCTTCAGTGTCACATGATCCTCAGAAATCACTCTGATATGATGCTCAAGAAACTTTCCTTTTTATTATCAGTGTTAAAACTGCTGCTTGATATTTTTGTGGACGCCTTGCAATATTGTTTCAGGATTCTTTGATGAATAGAAAAATTAAAAGAACAGTGTTTATTTAAATTAGAAATCTTTTATAAAAGGCTTTACTGTCACTATTGATAAATTCAATGCATCCTTGCCGATTAAAAGTACTTAATTCTTAAAAAAAATATATATATATATATATATATATATTGCATAATCAATATGATTTTTATTTGCTTTTTACAAACTTGGGGATGAGTTATAATAATTTTACAGTAAATGAAAGCATGTCACAGCTTATCCTCTCTATTGAACCAACATTCCTGCAAATGCACATGTAACTTGTTTAAGGCTATTTGCTTTAAATGAAAAAAAAAATCATTGGTCAATGAGTGTTTTCTTCTATCAGAGCATCCCTTCTCTTTTTCCCTGGCTATTTCTCAAACACACAGTAATACAGCACCGTTTTCTTATTTTCCTTATATTTGTTCTCCCGTGAGTCCAGTAGATTGCGCTCTTTCATATTGAAATGTAGGACAGGTGAGCTCAGTAAGCTTTGGTGTTTTGCTGTTAGGCTGTTCACTGGTCGTTCTCAGTTAAACTGTTGCAGCAAAGAGCTTGCGCATGCATTTTGTTCCTTTGTGTTTCTAACTAAAATATACAGTATATAATCCCCACTTGAAATGCTCTATTTGTTGGAAATAGAGGTCAAGAGTAGAGAGTCAGTTGTTCTCTCGGTTACTTTCAAACTGCTGCATGATGTAAACTTGCATCGGATCATTTGTAGCCTTCTCATCTTTCATCTGCATTGCTTGTGTGCATTTGGCCTTGTTCTGACGTTCAGAGGAGTGTATGTATCAGGCTGGCTGTGTGTTTTTAATTGTATGCCAGTCCGCACTGCCATCAGCCCTCAGGAGGGGTCAGTGACAGCTCATTCCTAACAAGTGACATCAACAAATTGCTGCAGCCAATCCTATGCAAGAGCCCTCGCGCGTGAGCCCTCAAACTAGTGTCAGAATAAGCAAAGCTCTCTCACTTCCACAGCAATCATAACAGTTCCCGAGACCAGAATGGAAAGACAGGAAGGACAATATCCACCCTTCCTTAGCTGTTCCAAGGAAGTGTGGCGATGGCACAAGAAACCTTTAATAGGTCATTATGCCAAGTATTGAAGCTTTTTTCCTTTTTTTTTTGTTTAGATATTTTTTTTTTAAATGTTAGCATTTCTATTAAAAGTTGAAATTTTTTTTTTGGAATTGCCCTTAAAGTAGCTATGATGCCAAATGCTTCAGTAAAATCAAAAAGCATATTGTTTTTGTAGCCTGTGTGTTTGTGGAAGAGATGGGTGATGGACTGGTGCTTATTTAAACTTATTTTCATCTTTTCCATAACAGAAATAAATGTTAGCAACATTAAAGGTGCATTTTATAGTCTGGTTTCACAGTCAATGTCCAGTTTTATGTAAATTACACTGATACCATTGTGTTTCAGAGAGAAGTTTACACAATAATTAATTCCAATTCAAATTAATTAATTAAATAATTGATGGGAGCTTTCAGCTTTGAAACCTTTGAGAATCAGTAGTTGGGAGCGTGTGTATGAAACTGGCTTCATTACATCGAACATTTGCATCGAAACGTTATAAATGCTGATCTGGTGAACACATTAACCAATTATAATGTAGGTTCATTTTTAATGAATTTTAAGAATTTCTAATAAACATGCATATATAATGAAAAGTAGAATGGTTATTAATTGTTTCTAATTGGACTGAATAGCCAAGACCTGCCTAAAACAAGCATACAAAAGTCACTACATATTATATGGTATTTAGTGATATGTAAATTACATTCAGTACTTTATTAAAAACAATTGTAATGGGTTTGTAAAAGGTATCTTTCTGCAGATTTGGGCTGTGATTACATTGCATTTACACTACTTTGATCAGTAGGTGGCGTGAGCGTGCTGTGTTTTGAGATTTTTGCAATCGAATAATTTTGCGAATCAATTCATTTAGTGTTTCAAAAAGCTTATTTACTCTAATCACTATATACAGGTACTGATTCTCCCATTGTCTCCGCTGGAAAGGCACGATGCTTGTATAATTTTCGTTCTTTGCATCCCCAAACAACACTACGCTACTAGCGGCTGTGAAACTTAGTGAAACACTGCAGCTCATGCCATTTCAACATGACAAAATACATTTTGGTGGGGACGATCCACACCATACTTAACTGAAACACATTTACAATGTACAAAAACACAATTTATTTCTCCATGTGTTAAACTTTTTTAAATTAGCACCGAACTACTAAATGCACCTTTACGTTACATTGGAGGGTTTTTAATGAATGTTAAACCTGTACCTTATAAATTACTTTCTTTATCAATTTAATTTATTGGCAAATTAATTACAAATTTTTAGGAGAATGAAATTATGTGGCATGGGTAGCTGGTAGAGGTGTGCTAGAATAATGTGTGTGTGTTTTGCGTCTATGTGGTCGTATTCAGGATTTATTTCAGTTAGTATGTCATGTTTTATCTCTCATATTTTTGTTATATTTCTGCCCGAATTGCTGGGATGAACTCTATGGAAATCAATGTGCATTGTTCAGAAGCCCAAGAGTCAAATGAGGTCAACATGAATGCAAAAAAAACTTTCCGTTTATCATGTTTACACACGTTCACTTATCCATGTACACACTTTTTGGATGTAAAGCAGCATCAAATGAGGTTATAATTCAAGGTTCAAGAACCTGTTTGCTTTCCTCTCAATGCTCATCTGGGCAACTTCCTTTAAAGTCTTTGCATCACTGTGAGTTTCATGGTTTGCCACTCACCTTACTGTCCGTCAGTACTAACATTCCAGTTCCGACGTGTTCCTCACCCCTGAATGCCTTGTTGTCTGGCCACAGGCCTGGCGTATCTCTTTTGTATAGTTGCATGCTTTTATAGGTACATACATCACACATATCTACATATACATATCCATTTCCATGTTAGATAATGTCCCTGTGCTTGAACCCCTAACCCTTGATGACAAGCTGAGTTCAAAGTCATGATAGAACAGAGGACAATGTAGGGACATATAACCAGGTTCCTCTCTTGTTGGTTCTCCTGATAATGAGTGTGTGTGCTCTTACTGCCACTGTTGTCTGTGCGTTGTGAAGGTCTGCTTTCTTATCAAACTGACAGAGCTGTATGAGTTGGAAGAAGACATTAAAATGTGACGTGCGTTACAGAAATCACTGCCTCTGTCTTGTTTTCTTTATACCAGTAAATGTGCTGCTTATGATCTACAGTATGCACACATCTTTATGTAACAGTATATCCTGCTATCTTCAACACCACAACAAAAGATTCCTTTTTGTCACTGTAAGTTTGCAGTCTGTATTGAATGAGATGCAATAAAAATATCATGCTAGGTGAAAAAATGGCAAGAAACAGCTTTCTACTGAGTTGTCCTCGCAGGCTGCATGCAAAAACTAGTTTTATACTAAACCTGGCATTGTATACTGTAAATAGTCTGATAAACTGCTTGTGAGGTTTCTTATTTGAAAATCACCTTGGATAAAAGCATCTGCTAAAAGATAAATGTAAAAACAACATTCAGCACAACCAGTGCAGTCTGACTAACAAATGACTCTTATGAGCCAGATTTTTTAACTGAATTAGAAACGTACAGCACAACCAGTGTAGTCCGATTCACTAACAAATTACTTTGATGAGCCTGTTATTTTAAGTGAATCAGAAATGTACAGCGCAACCAATGTAGTACAATTCACCAACAAATGACTCGATCCTGTTTCTTTTACTGCATCAAAAATGCACCGTGTGATTCACGAACACTTTTGAGTTTGTTCTTTTTAGTGACTCGAAAACGTGCAGCACAAGAACTGTAGTTTGATTTCTGAACAAACTGATCTTATCAGTCTATTCTAAATCTCAGTTGCTAGTTTGAATCAATCTGACATATTATCAAAGTGGTTACCAAATCAACATTGGACACAAACTAGTAGAGTACAAAGTAGAGAAGTAAGGTGGAAAAGTAAGGAAAGAATCTTCTTGATAAAAAAAAAGGGGGTTGCGGACCTAGTAGTGAGACCTGAGGAACACCACTGCTGCCTTTCAGAACTAATCACAGAGCCACCGCGGTATTGTCACCGCCATTGTCAGTGATTAAATGACCAGGCTTCAGAGCAACTAAGAGGTGCATTATGGGATGGTAGAGGGGTATTCTCAGCTTTTGTCCTAAGGTTGCTGATTGTAGCAGCATTCCTGCCCTCAGCACAGTCATCAACACACAGACAGACACACACACACACACACACACATACACAAACACACACGCATGCATGCACTGAATCTTTGACCATGGGCCAGGTCACCCCACACACATTTTGGGCATTTTTGCTTAAGGTGATACCTCTTGTTTGGACCATATTGGAGCCATATTGGAGGTGGAGCTTTACCAGAGCAACTTTTTTTGGGTAGTGGATGAAGACTGACTGAATACTAGACTGACACCTGCAGCAGTACTACTGATGGGGTAGGCCGGCCCTGCTTTCACTGTATGTTTCAGTGCTATTAAACACAATGGTCTCGCTGGATCCATCGGCCTGCAAAAGATGAGTTAAAAGCAAACAAATTTTATCAGATATTACAAATATATATATATATATATATTTTTTTTTTACTTTGCTTTAGTTTTTTTTAAAGTATTTTTTATATTTTGTAATATCTGACCCATACTAGTGCATGGTGATTCTTGGTAGGTTTTGGTACATACAATTTTTTTTTCTCTTCTGTTCACTCTTCAGGACTCATCAGGATAGAGTTGAGTTAACAGCATGCTAGTGTTTTCCTGTCAAACTCTAGTACTGCAGCAAACACCATGTTCAGGTACACTCCTCCGTGGCGGGCGCTGTGTAACAGCCTGGATCATTCTTTTAAGGTAGGGCTGTATAAAACACATGTTTTTTGAAAAAATTGTTACAATTTTAGACTCTTAAAAATAAAGGTTCTTTATTGGCATTGATGGTTCCATGAAAAACCTTTAACATCCATGGAAACTTTCCATTCCACAAAAGGTTATTCGTAATGAAAAACGTTGTTTATATTACTTAAATGTTCTTCATACTAAAAAAAAAATGGTTCCTTGAAGAACTGATCACTGAAAGGTTATTTGGGGAACCAAAAATGGTTCTTCTGCTGCATCGCTACAAGAACCCCCATTTGGAACCTTTATTTTTAAGTGTAGGGCTTTAAAAAATTATTTTATTCTATTACAAATTGTCAAATTAGTCTCACTTAATCAGCTTTATAAAATAAGCTTTATAACATACAGTGGAACCAATACTTGAAATTCCATATAAATAAAATAATGTGTATAGTGCAATACTAGTGGTCTTACTTTGTTATGATGCTTATATTCAATAACTAATAAAATACTCACTATATTTAATGTACAAAGTCAAATATTTGTGCATTATATGTTTTTACCGAATACATTTTAGTGTGGTTGGGGCAAAGAAACATTTACCTGAACTTTGGCTTCTTCTTCTGTAGTTGTGCAAAACAATTAAGTAGATATTGTGTACACGTACCATCATTTTGTTATTAGCTTAAGATAAAATAATTGGCCAACTCCTGCAGTACTGCTGTAGTGCAAGAAATTGTATGTAGTTTTGTGTATTTTTGCGGCTATGAAGCCCCCTGTAGTTATGTGAGTGGAATTCACTGTTGTTATTGTATAGCTGGATAGCTGTACACACGATTTGTCGCTGCCGTAAAGCAATCCGCCAATTTTGTGAAATGTTGTACCTGCTCATCAAATTTACAAACACCCAGAACAGACTTTTGGAAAGATACAAGCCATTCGCCCTATTAGATGTCAGTGAACCGTCAGAATGATTTTGAAACTTAAAAAATATATTTAAAGGTAAAAAGTTTACATACAGTTGCTTTAAAACCCCTAGTTTAGATTTGTATTATTAAATCTACTAAGCATCTGTACAAAAAGTCCAATCATGGGCGCTTTTCTACCTGATCAGTTAAACAGTTACTAGTGATGATCTTAGAAAAAGAAATTTACTTGGACATAAACTCTGGAATGTAATATATGAGTGTCATGCTCTGTACTGTCACTTATCCCGAGGGAGTTTTCCTCATTGCACAGCTCAAATGACAGCTTCAGCTTTATTTCACTGTTTTTGGTGTCCTCACTAGAGTCCATTCAGATACATGCAAATATTGATAACAAGAATGTTTAGTCAGGCCCATTTAACATTATGTTAATTCTGCATACAGATAGTTGCGTAACAAGATTTTATATTAATATACCAGGTGTCCATTCTTCCTCAATACCCCATCCACAATCTATCAGTCTTCTGCACTCCTTCAGTCTGGGTGGTGGGTGTGTCTATGCATGCATATGTAATATTAGCTGAACTTTGTCAAGTCAGTGCAGTAAAGACAGAAGTGCCTTCTGATGCATGTGACACTACAGGCTCTCACACCGCTACTGATGTCTGAGGGTGAGTGTTGCTCACTTTTCTTTGGCTGAAAGGTTTTGTGAGAGTAAATAGTTCAGCTTGTTATGTTAGAATAAATAGTTCATATTATTTGCTCATTTGAAATGTGTGGGATCATTTGTATGTACTGTATGAGATGCCTAATTCAGAGGAGAATAAAGTGACATGTAACCTAATGATCAATTAAAACAGTAAAACTTTGTAACTTAATGTTCAGTTCATTCTAAAGGACAAAAAGATTGTTCTCAGTATTATATAATATTACAATTCTTAAATGCATTGCATGGCAGGAATGTTTCCTCTTTCAGCCATTTTATTGTCACTGCAGGCTAAAGGTTGATCAGGTTGAATACGGTTATGTATCTTACGATAATTTTTTATGAAGCACTTCGATCTGTCTGGAAGAAAGTGAAAGAGTGAGATTTTACAAACTTGTTTTTTTTTAGTACAGTCCACATTACACTGAGCATCTATCAAAACATAGCTGTTCTGTTATCAGCAGTTGTTTCAATATCATGAAAAATGCATTTGAATCTGGATATGAAGCTTTCATTCAGTGGGCATATATTTAAAAAGGTTTTATGGGGTAAACTAAAGACTCACTGTAGCACGGTTCCCTGAATCTTTGTTTTGGTCATCATACTTCTGTAAAGCTACAGTATATTTTCTACACTTTTGGGAGACCCCTCAAACAGTCTGAGCCAATCAGCAAAGGCAGAGCAGTGGTTTCCAGGAAACTGGCCTGCTGTCATTTTATCAGCGGTTCACAGTTCACGATGTCACACACGGACGCCAGTGACAGTGAGCAAAACTCCCTTACAACTACGTAAGCTTGTTCAAAGTGGTAGACACTCTTATCTATTGTTTTGATGCAGTACGCAGACCAGAGAATTTTTTCCCACAATGATAAATTATTCTTAAACAACGGATTAGTACATATTTCTTCAATAACATGAGGTGAGTGCCAGTTTTTATTTTTAAATCTATATAATCACCATCTGAAGACCTTTAAATACTTAAAAGTTTTGTCATCAGAAAAGTTATTCAGCAGAAATTAAATTTAAAAAAAAAATGTAAAATATAAGCATAAAATATATTATTCTCTCACTCTAATGTTTATTAAAAATGTAAAGCTTGAAAAATCACATAGTATTTAAAAATATATTTTTAATAACCCATCAAGTGCAATTGTGTGCAATGTAATATGTAAATTCTTACAACTGAGATAGACAGGTGTTTTAGTACTAAGCATAAGATGGGTTCATGTATACTATCGAAAAAAAGCCACAGAAACATGATTTTCAGCTGAATAGTGAAATAAAAAAATAAAAAAATTTACCACGATTTTACTATATTAAGAAAATGTTTTGATGTTCATTCTAAACAATTTATCAAGGGAATGCATTCTATTACAATTATGCCAGTTATAGATTTTTTAAATTAATAAAGTTTCATTAAAGTTGCAATCATAGTTTCCAGTATTAACATAAGGAAATTAAACAAAACTGAACAAAATGCCAAGTAAAATACGTTTACTCGGTTACAAGAAATATGGTAAAATTTTACAAAGGACAGTTTTAAAAGTCAGGAGTGAAAGTACTGTCTTTTTCTAGTGTTATATTTTTAACACTGTTTCGTTTTTGTTAATGTAATGTTAAATGTTTGATAAATGTTCTAAATGTACTTTTTACATGTTCTTCTCTCTTATTAGACACAACATGTTAAACCTTGTACCTTGTAAACCATGTATGTTACATATCGGGAAATACGTTTACTTACTTACTCTCTACACACAGTGTGTTAATCATCTGATAGTCTGCACTGTCCAGAAGTAAATCTGTTGTCTTTCTTTTTTTTTGTTATTACCCAGAGACAGGCATCAACTGTGACAGTCAACCCATATGATACATGCACTCACTCCTCAGTAGACTAGCAGGCTGTGATCCATTCCCATTCTTCTCTGAGACCTCTAATTCCCAGGGCTGCCCAGAACCATCCACCACCCAGAGTTCCCATGATCAGCAACCCAAAGCGCTGGGTGATGAAGCCCTTCTCCCCTAAGCTAGAGCAGTCGGATTTGCGCTCCATATTGAGCCCTACAGGCCAACCACAGTCACTAGAGAACACGTGGAGTAGCAGTCAGGATGGTAACTCTTTCAGGTTCAGCTTTGAAAGCATAACTGTAACAGACATGCAGCCCACTGTGATAGTGTCCTCTGGATATGGCAATAGTCCTCCAGATGTGGTGGTCCAGGCTAGGCAAGTGGCTGTGTCTGAGGATGGAAGTGACAGTGAAGACTTTAGGCCCAGTACTCCAAGCAACCCCAGCAGCCCTGGAACCGCCAGCAGTACAGGCTCACATGTTGGATTCTATTCCTTTGTAGAGGACCCAGCAAGTCCAGAAGCAGAGATGAATGAGGTCTACATGGTTTCTTCACAAAGGCAGGCCAAACTGAATACCCTGAAGGAGAAGAGCACCTTTAAGCTACAGACGTACACAGAGGAAAAAATACCTGGAAGGCTTTTCGAAGAAACTAATGGAGATGACCATTACCAAATCGAGGATGCCTCCACAATGAACGAAGATGGGGAAAATCCAGACCGAATTGAGATCATCCGGAATCAGGCACCCAAGAAAAGCCCTGCCCTTAAAGAGCAGTGGAGTGTCTTAGAAAATCTGAACCTCAGTAACACGCCACAAAGACTCCTGCATGGGTTTAGTCTAAGCTACAAACCAGTGAGCGAGAAGACTGAAGAAGCCAGGGTGGAGCCTGGCACCATAGACAATGAGCAAATTGACTTCAATGCAGCACGAAAGCAGTTTCTAATGATGGAAGAATCAAAACAGAACCCCTTCCTACAGAGTCCCGAGCGGCTCCCTTATTCCCCCAAACTGCGGGGAAGAACTCTATCCTCAACGGCCAGCATCTTCACTCTAAGACAAGTAAGCAAAGAGAACAGCCCAGAGGAGAATGAGATCCCACAAGCAACACAACAAGAAAAAGAAGTAAAGACTGAAACTGTGACTGAGGATTCAAAAAATGGAGGTGCCTTAGATGATGTTGACTCTGGTCTTGGTGACCGAAGTGGAGGATACGCCAGCGATGGTAACATTTCGAACGATCCTTCCATTTCAGAAATGGAAAGCAGCTTGACGATGTCAAGTGCAGAGGAGACTCCCATTCAAAGGGAAATCAGAATTTCCCAACAACGGGAAGAGAGTCTACGTCGATCAAGGGGTATCTTGCACAAAGACAATTCAGAGATGGTGGAGATCAGGATAAAGCCAATTCTGTCCCTGTCATCGCCACAGGTGAAAGCTGCAAAACCCAAAGAACCCAACAGAGTAAGTTTCCTTATTCAGAGAGAGCGTGAGCTTGAGAAACAGCGACAGATCACAAACAGTGTTTCAAGCCATGATACCCAAGAGAACCAAGTACAGGACAATAAGAAGTCATTTGAGTCACAACCAGATGAAATTCCAGTAACATCTTTGGGGGCAAGTCTAAGAGAAAGTCCCACAACTGATTTAGAGCAAAGCACAGTCTCTGCAGATGACATGTTGATTAGAGAGAAAGCTGCACTAGTAGAGGAAGGTGACCTTTTTGACTCAAAGGAAGTTCTTTCGCCTTGCTGTCCTCATCGACATCCTGATGAATCTATCCTTCAGAGAAACTCTGACAGCAGCACTTTTGGAAAACAAGTCCAAGTAAGTGCATGTCTTGAGGACCATTTTAAAGTAAGCATTAATAAAGAAAATGGTGTAGAGTGCCAAACCAATACCCTCAGAACAAAGAAAGAGTCATCCTGGATTGTGGAAAATGACAACAGCATGTCAGGAAGGAACAGATTTTACCCTCAAAATTATCCGTCCCCACTGGAACCTGCTAAAATTAGTCGGTACACTCCTACCTGGAAATCTCACCTCGAGTACACCGACTGGAGCCCCAAAATGCAGAATGCCCCAAACAGCATCCGTCAGGAAATCGAAGAAGACCTCAGACGAGAGCAAGAGCTCCAAGAGCTGAGAGAGTCCAGTAGTCAGTCTTTCTCAGTACCCAACCCAGCATCCGTGAATCCAGTGCCAAGTTCCTCTGAACCCAGGTCTCCTCTAACCAGCGAGGAAACTGTATTTTCACCACAAACTCCACATGGGAACATGGCAGAAGTGGATTCGGTATTTTCAGAAAAGAAAACTAATTACAGTAATCCTTATTCTGGGAGTCTGGACACTTCTCGATCATCCATGACAGGTATAACTCTTCAGTCTCACTGCACTCAAACATGCTTAACATAACAAATGGGTAAGGAGGGATACTGCCTGTTGCTGGGAAACTGTCTTATTATTCTGTACAATGTTTGTGGCATGTGCATTCCATAACTTTCTGCTTTATACAGTAGCTTACTGATTAAAGCGTTTAATGTTTATGGATGTCAGCAGCACCAAGGAATGAGCAGGAATTGCCAACGTAGTTTCTGAACTTTGGACATACCATGACATTCTGCTCCACTGAAGAATGATTAATCATTTACTTTATGGATGTAAATGTGCATTTTGAAGTTAAAGATTGCTTTTCACACAATCAAATGCCTACATGCTTAGTCTTGTTTTCCAATATAATTTGTGCTGGTGGATTCACGACAGGCCAAGATCACAGATCACTAATCAGTTCAGAATCTGTATCCATAATGGAATTAAGACTACATTTCAACAGACATATAGTATGTTAAGATGTATTTGTTTCAGAAAATCATGATTTTTAAACATGGTAATTCATTGAAAACGTATGGGGAAACGAATGACTCGTGTAAGTAGGTGAATGAATAGTAAACATAATCTCTTGTTTTTCTTTGTTTATCTCTCCAGATAAAAGTTCACAGTTGTCCTCACCACGACCCACTTTCAGACTTCCCTCTGTGTCAATTATGACACCCCAGCCATGGGGCAGCCCGAAACCCATGTCCCCAACTGTTTCCAGGACAACCCCCATCAAGCCCTTGAGCGCACTTGCTGACCTGTCATCGCTTTCTTCCCAGAAAGGTCTGACTGAGACACTGCTAAAGGACTTTGAGGACAGACGGGTCAAACTGAAGCTGGAAGAAAGTGCAGTGAGTGAAGTTTCTTTCAGGAAGTCACAAACCTCTCGAGTAAACAGCCCTTAAAAAAGATAGTTCACCCAAAAATGAAAACTGTGTAATCGCCTTCATCTTCATGTCATTCCAAATCGCAAATCCGTGGAAGAAAGAAAGTCATACACGTTTGAAATGACATGCATAAGTAAAGAATAGAATTTTTAGGTTGACTAATGTCACAATGCAAAGTAAGAGCTGTATAGACATTTTTTTCACTTTATAACTTTTTCTTTCCTCAGTATGCTGGGATCCAACCTATTGATGCCATAAACAATGAGGTGAGCTGATGTTTTCGATGTCTAGTGCCCTCTGCTGGATTTTGGAACAGACCCAGTTTGATCATGTTGTGTAACTCTGGTTTATCTGTAGGTTGTAGTGGCCACCCGTGTAATAAGGCATAAAAACCAAAGAGCCCTGCAGTGGGAGGCAGGCATGTACACCAACCAGGAGAGCTAATGAATCAGCACCGACATAACAGGACACACCAGAAATCATCTTCAGATGAGAAGGACTGGTTTTAATTCCACATTACACTTACCAAGCACTCTTCTAGTGTCACCTCACCATATAAAATCAATGAACATGAAACATGGACATTGCTTCCATCTCACTCAGTTTAGCTGGCTGGTCTGAATCGACTGGTGTGGTGGAAATAGGTGTAGGTGTGGAGAACATCTTACCTGCTTGCATGGGGTGATTTGTAAGCTCTAGCAAACTGGATCATGAAAACTTTCTTAATCTATTTCTCCGCCCAGTACTAACATTTAACTACCATCCTTAATACTTATAAAATATACACATTTATACAGATCTGTCATCTGAAAATACAACATCAGACTGTGTTCCAAATTATTAATGTCACTAACCTTCAGATCCTCAGCACTTAAATGGATAGACCAGCTTGCTTTTTATACAAGGAATAAAACCAAAAAAGCAAAGTAGAATCACAGAGCCGGGTTCCTACATAGAGAGGAGGGACCATGAGATCTGGACCTGGACATGAACTCATTAATACACAAGCCTGTTGATCTAACAAAGTGGTCTTTATTTTTAAATAATGTTGAATCTTGCTTTCCACTGAAAAAATATAAAATATCAATAGAAGATTATTTTTGTATTGAATATTGAAGATAAAGTTGCACTGGAGATTTTTGCTGTATTGTAAATGCAATATGATAATTGTTTTTATGTACAATTACAGATTAGACGTTGTAATTTAGTTTCGTTTCAATAATAGTCTGGTATGTCAAAATTAACTTAATATCAAAAGATAACATTGATGTATTCTGTGTTGTTAACACATAATAATACTAATAATATATGCAATATATATATATATAATAAAAGGCTTGATTTTTAGTAGACATGTTTAATGTACGTATATAATAAAATTTTTCAATAGAAGATTTTAAGGTTTAGCCCTGAACAGTGATTCCTTGCCACTGGTACTGCAGAAAGAAATTCAAACATAATGTAAAAGGGTAAAAAAAAGAGTACTAGTCCAATACCTTTAACGTAAACCTTCATAAGCAGCAAAAACGACGTGCAATATCAATCTTGTCGTGTTTTCTAACTTCTTGCATGTTAAAGTTCCAGCAATATTCTAATCTCACTAAATAAGAGAACTTGCTGAACAATCTTCCTTCACGTGGGTTCCCTTTAATGAAAACCCATGTGCAATATTTCAGATACACTTTTAGCTTTTCTTTTTTCTTTTCTTTTTCTTTTTCTTTTTTGAATGTATGGCCACGGCACAGCAGCGCCCTCTAGAGGATAAACTCCATTAATAAATGATTTTCTAAATGCATGCAATGCCGTTTGCTTAATTGTTTGTTCATTTCATGCCAGTGTCATTGAAAATGTCTACATAACAACAGTGCAGATTAAATAAAGCCACGGATGCTTGACAAGACTCAAAATCCTCCTCTGAACCCATTTCTATTAGTACCACACTTTGTTTTATGCTCTCAGAGGTGAAATTAAGGGAATTTCATGGTAGATGCTTTTACAAGCAGGAACAAGTTACCTTTTAAAATCACTTTCACTTCAATCACACAGCTTCCATTCGGCATTAAACTGCAAATCAGTGCCAAGCGGGGCTTTCCACTCTTTCACTTCAATTAAAATCCATTTCCAGTGGATAAAACCTTTTGAGTAAGTGGAGTGCATTTTTTCCTGTATTTATAAACGAATATTCATATTAGCCTGCAGTAGCATTTAAATGCATTACTGTATGCATGTGTTATTGGTTGTATAATAAGTGGGACAACATTTTATTCTCTATTATAATTTGGATCTGACATTGATCAATCTTTGGACCATGTGATTTGTTTATTTGCATGCAACATCACTTTCAATATGTAGGAGTGACTGGGGCTAGTTGTCACACATTTTACTCTAGTGAATATTTTGCAGGGTGGGTTTATTGTTGTACGTTTCTGTATAGACATATACCTTAAACTCTTGGCTACAAAAAGCAATTGGACATTTTCATCGCCCAAGCAAAAAAGTAGTTTATTCAATACACACTGACCCCCTACAGTGGGGCAAGTTGTCACAGTATGGGAACCTGTTATTTTTTATGTTTTTCGAAAGAAGTCTCATACTCACCAAGGCTATATTTATTTGACCAAATTAACACACAGTAATATTGTGAACTATTATTACAATTTAACATTACTGTTTTTTATATTAATATATTTTACATGTAATTTATTTCTGTGATGCAAAGCTATATTTTCAGCATCATTACTCCAGTCTTCAGTATCGCATGATCCTGCAGAAATCATTCTAATATGCTGATTTGCTGCTCAAGAGACATTTCTTATTATTATCTGTTATTAAAACGTTTCAGAGTAGGTATGATTTTTTTTAAATCAACAAGTACACATTCAAGTGATCAAAAGTGATGGAAAAGATTTCTATTTCAAATAAAGGCTGTTATTTTGAGATTTTTATTCATCAAAGAATCCTGAAAAAAAATGTATCATGGATTTCATGAAAATATTAAGCAGCAAAAACTGTTTTCATCGTTGATAATAATAATAACCATTATACATAATTGGAAATAACCTGGAGTAATAACAGAATAAACAGGAATAAACAACTAGAAAAACAGGTATTTTGAATTGAAATAATATTTTACAATATTGTTGTTTTTACCGTATATTTGATCAAAGAAATGCAGCCTTGGTGAGCATAAGAGACTTCTTTCAAAACATTTAAAAAATCTTAATTATTCCAAATACACACACATTCAGTATCAATACTGCTTTTTTTGTATTAAAGGTTAAAAATTACAGCCTCAAGCTCCCAGTCTGCCAATCAAATGAGGGCCATTCTGACTTTAGTGGAGCCGGTGGTTGTCATCAATAAACTGGGAACATCCTTCTTTGACATGGCCCTCACACAGACCGTGTACAACCAGTCACTGAAGGCAACAGCAGGAGACAGCGATCAGGCACAGGCGTTATCCTCACGCTTTCTTCTTATTCAGAGTGTGTTGTCCTCTGTGGCGGCCATGTTGTCCATTATACCATTGAGCCGCATGGCAGACCGTCATGGACCTAAAGTCTTCCTGGTGGCCTCTCAAATGGGTTCGGTTTTGGGCATGTTTACGCTTGTCATCTTTATGTACTGTGAAGTTCCTCTGGAGTTTCTGTACTTGGGTTCTTTGCTGCATGGTTTGAGCGGAGGCGGGCCGATGTTCTGGGCCGGGGTGGCGGCTTTGGCATCTCTGAGCTCGGAGCAGGGCAAACGCACTCTTAAACTCAACATCGTGGACTTCTGTTTTGGGGTCGCAGGAGTCGTGGGAGGCCTCCTGTCTGGATATCTGTACCAGATGGGACCATCAATTCTCCTCCTGACAGCAATTCTAGTCAGCGTTGTGGCATTACTGTACTCTGTGTTTGCCCTCACTGACTCGAGACATTCCCTATCCGAGAGTGAGCCATTGCTGGCTGAATACGAAAATGGGAAAACGATGGATCGAGTCTCTGTAGGCATGCTGATGTCAGCCATGGTGTTGTTCATACTAGGCATGGTGGGGGCAGAAAATGTGCTCCAGCTGTATTTGCTGAAGCCCCCCCTGAGCTGGGACTCAATTTGGGCCGGATATGGCAGAGCCGCCACCAGCGCCATGTACCTGAGTAGTTTCATAGGGGTCCTGGGTCTGTTCAAAGTGTTGGGAGACACAGCCCTCACTCTACTGGGTATTGTGTCCAACTGTACTGGGATGGCAATCATGGCATTCACTGTAGAAAGCTGGGTCTACTTCCTGGGTGAGTTTGTTTTAAGGTAATTAAAAGTGATTTATCGTGTAATGATGCACATAAAGTCCCCACCCGACAGATATCACTGAAATAGGTCTCCAGTAATAGCCATAGAGCAGTGGTTGTCAACCAGTGACTATTATTATCAGGGTTGCCAGGTCTGCATAACAAAACCAGCCAAATTGGTACTCAAAAATATCCCAATCACATTCTATCAAAATAGCTCCAAAATCGCATTCCAGAGGCTCAAAACCTCCTTGCACGGATTTTGTTTCAAGCCACGGACAAAAAAAAAAGAACCCGCTGCAACAGTATTAAAGTATCCCAATTCAGTGGGAAAACTGCGGACTTGGCAACACTGATTATTATTGCACTTTCACAAGAGCACAAATCAACTCGCATGATTTGTTCACAGATTTAGTTGCTGCAAACAGCGTAAACGACCGTGTGAAAGAAAATAGACAAGCTGTATTACACTTTTATTTGAGCAAAATATCTCAGAGATCGCTGAACTCCAACTTGAATGTTTGCCGGGTGTTTTCGCCTCATCAATGTAAAAACAGTGTGTGCGCAGGGTTGCCAGGCTTTAAAAAACCTTTTCACTATTAAATTGATTCCATAGTTGAGTTTCCATAATTGATTTAGCTTTTTACTGTGAGGCTGCTTTGACACAATCTGTATTGTATAAAGCAGTAATAGAAGTAAAGATGACTTGACTTGAAAGGGAGCCAGGGCTCATTAGTGGGCCTCAAGATAACATACAAAATATTTAAAACAAGAATGATATAAGAATGATATTTCTTATTTTATTTCACCCCCTCAACAAATGTTTTTATTTGCTTTGAAAAAAAAGAAAAGAAACTGTGTTCCCTCTATTTAAAAACATTCTGGATATGAGGTAACCAAATTAAAAATGTGATTTCTAGACCTGGAAATGTCGTGTAAATTAATAAAATCTCCATGTGCATTTTTATACTGAACATTTTAGTTATGACATGCTCTCAGGCCATACAATGTGTAGATGAGTAGTTTATTCCTTCATGGGAACAGATTTGGAGAAATTTTGCATTATATCACTTCCTCTGCAGTGAATGGGTGCCATCAGAATGAGAGTCCAAACAGTTGATAAAAACATCACAATAATCCACAAGTATCCACGACTCCGGTCCATCAATTAACATCTTGTGAAGCTAGAAGTTGCGTGTTTGCAATCAACAAATTCATAATTAAGGCAACTTTAAACAGTTACTTCTGGGTAAAATAGAGTTCGCTATCCATAATATTGCTTTCTCCAGTGAAAGGTTGAGATGTGTTGTTTTAAACAGCTAGAGGGATCATGATGTTTGCCTGCGTTCCCATGCCAACACTGCGAGCCATGTTGTCCAAGAATCTGCATCCTCAGCAATATGGTAAAGTTACAACTCCATAGAAACAAAAACTTCAAATGTGCTTCATCTAAGTATAAGCTTTAGCTGAGGTCATACTGCACATGAAAGTCCTCTGCTGTGTTTCTTGGCAGGGCGAGTCTTTGGGCTGCTCCAGCTGGTTCTAGCTGTGACTGATCTCTTGTCCAATGTCTTTTTCACCTCCATTTACCCACTAACTCTCGGCTGGTTCAGTGGCTTCTGCTTCCTCCTCTCCTGTGCTATTAGTTACATCAGTGCTGTCCCGATCATGTATGTAAATCTGTCGTTAAAAGACAACAGCAAAAGTTCTTTTGGTGGTTTCTTCTCAGATCATGCAGAGTAACTTCTCAAGTGGGCTCGTTTTTGTAGCTGCATGTGCAAAGAGTTCTGAATTTCACTTTTTAAAGCTTTTCTTCAGTTTGGTTCAGAGTAGAGATTTCGTTTTCTTTTCTGAGGATTCATCAGTTTTTATAAATATCTTCCACAGATCCAGACAGCAACAGATCAGAACAACATAACAGAATATTTCGAAAAACACATGCGTGTTGTGTTTTACCATCAGGATGTTTTATGTGTAATGTCCAACAGCTGCCACATGGTGTCATCTAATCGTCAGTGCACGACCTACTATGGCAAGCGTATTAGTGTAAAAACAAAATTGGTTTAAATCATATTTTAGATAATTACAATTGTATTTCAGTGTGTCGCAAACATAATTTGACTAGTCAGAACGATAATTTAATACATATGCAATTCTAATTTAAGAATGGGGGGGTTGGGTGGGCGCTTACAATGACTTACAAAGATATATAACAGCTACAAGTGTATGCACTACTTGCTTTATGCAAGCACTATATAGGATAAATCACTATACAGGATTTACCCTATTATACTTTATCGACACGAATTGAGAGATACAAAAAACAAAGCATCCGGCTGTCTTTGAGTTCACATGAACAACGGTTAAAGTTACTCGTCGTCAGGCTACAGAAGAATACCATAATTCCTCCGTTCAATTAGGCCTAAGACATCGCAGACCAACCCAGCCACAACACATAATTGCGAATAACATGCTTTACCTTAACACAGAATCGACCACAGAGTCCAACGTTTATATTTTTTCTACGAATCTTTGAGTTAACATGTACTAAACATGAGTGGAATTTGCACCGCAGCGCCCCCACACCTTGATGCTCATGAAAAGAATAGCATGTATAGTTATCTTTATTGAAGTGAATTAGGTTTAAATCGCCGGCTGGTCGCGGTAAACTAAAATTTTTAAACCCGTCTAACAAAATACTAAATTAATTCAGCTGGACACACTTTCCTTATTTTCTCCACAACAAATGGCCAGGCAAGCGCAGACACTGACAAGATACGCGATACAGAACGAGACCAAACGCAATATCAGCACATCTCCACACAGTTAACAAAACAAGCGTTTTTGGGTACAAATACAATTATGGATGCCACAATTACTTGATCGTTCAAAGTCCACTTATGTTATTCTGCACACTTAAGATACGTTTTTTTCTTTCTACATGTTATCTTTTTCCATTGTTTTAGTATAACATTATAATACCATTCATATTTTAACTTTTTTTATAATTTAAAGAAGAAACCAATCTGATGTATATTTGACATTTGAGGCTTAGTACTACAGAAAAGCACTAAAGGTTTTTCAGTTAGAGTGTTTTCAGCTTGTTTATTTTCATATAAAAATATGGCACGCAGTTGCATCAAACAATGGTATAAACATCATTCAATGTAAATTGTGATAATCGTAATTAATAATCGCAATTACAATTTCAAGGGAATAATCAACAATTATGATTTTTGTCATAATCGTGCAGCCCTACTTGGAACCTCAACCTAGGTGGTACTGAAAAAAATACCAGGTACCAGGTACTTTACCCAGTGGAAAAACCCCCAAAAGTGAACCGTACTATGCCGTACCATGCAGTGGAAAAGCGCCATTTGTGACTTCCACACCTCGTGCTATTGCTCCTTCCAGACAAGATTCATCCTGGCAATAAGGGGGTGAATCATTTCAAAGTGAATCAGATATTTGTTAGAACAAGCACTATGGCATCGTGCCATGCCACATTGTGCTTCCTTAACTTTTTATTAACTCAAAGTTGTCGTTTAATTTCCAAAACAAATTCTGGTTCATAATATTTGGCTGTTGTGAAACACATAGGCCCTAGTTAAGAAATCCTTAACTTGCTGCCTGGATCAGCCTTCACGAGGCCACAACATGAACACTCCCACTCATTCCCTCATTTAAGATTATTTCCTGTGGTATGTGGCTAGTGAGGAGGGACCCACAGGATGTAGAACAAAAGCCTGATTCATGAGGTTCATTTAGGTTAGTTACTTACATGCTTTAGGTCATGCAGTAACTTATGCAGCACGAAACCTACAGGCACTGCATTTGTCTGAGGATTACCACAGTACAGAGATAAGCACTGTTTTAAGAGTTGAATGCTAATTAAACAGTTTGATTCTGAGAGGTTTCTTCGTTTTGGATTTTAAAGATCTGTAAGGGACATTTTTTTGTATTACGTCACAGGTTCAGAGCAATTAGGCTACGGGATAAAGACAACATGAAACTCCATTCGGAACTCATTTTACTTTTGTAACATGACATTTGTAAGTGAAATAGGAGATTAAATAAGAAAAGGTGTTGGCTAGGGCTTGATTTCATACACTGGGAATTGATTGGATTGTGAAAGTGAAGTGACGTCACGTGTGGCCAAGTGTGGTGTCCCATACTCGGAATTTGTGCTCTGCATTTAACCCATCCAAGTGCACACACACAGTAGTGAACGGACGCACACCGTGAACACACCTGGAACAAACCAACAACAATTGAGTTGATTGTTATCTTGATTGAATAAAGGTTTGCTAAAACAAAACCTCCTAACTAGCTATTGGTTAAAATTACTGTGGCCTAAGTGATGTCATCAGCAAAGTAAAGGCATGGTGAAACCAAACATGGTTTATAAAATTCCTATTGATCTTGAGCAACGGGCTATATTATTGATTAATTTTATTTTTCTATAGCTACACACTGCCTTTGTTATCAGCACAAACATGGTTTTCTTTATTTAAAATGCACTGAAAATTCATGCACGATGAGATCAAATGCATTAATTAAGAAAATATAGATGTTCTGTTGTAATTTAATGTCTTAAAATTGGTCATCAGATGTTCTGACTGTTAGATGATCTTCAGGTGACAAGCATTTTATTGTTTCGGCGCACTTTCTACCTCAGCCTAATGATTGAACCTGTTTCAGAGACATTCCTCAGAGATTGGTTTTGGCTGTTGATATGACGAGATGAATGCAGTCCATTCATCAAATGCAAATATGTTTGCCTCATCGCTCAGCACACACATGTAGCTCTGGTGTTTGTTCAGCAGTGCTGATCAGAGGGAAGATGGCTGGGGGAGGTGCTAATGGGTCACATGGGGGTTCGCTTGATGCTATCAGTCTCTCTTTCTTGTTCTCTGTATCTCGTGAAGAATGCAGGTCAATAGCTTGTGGGTCGCAGGTGCTGGTTACAGGCAGCAAGCCGACGATTCGCAATAGTCCCAGCTTGTTTTAACTGGAACTATTGTGGTTTGTCATCTTGTTAGATGGAGTTTAAATTAGCCCAATATACGAGAATCTAAAGCTTGCCTGTGTTACTAGTTAACATGAAATCATGACATTTTTGCTTCTTCTCTGTTCGTTTATTCATCAAATACAAATATGTTTGCCTCATCGCTCAGCACACACATGTAGCTCTTGTGTTTGTTCAGCAGTGCTGATCAGAGGGAAGATGGCTGGGGGAGGTGCTAATGGGTCACATGGGGGTTCGCTTGATGCTATCAGTCTCTCTTTCTTGTTCTCTGTATCTCGTGAAGAATGCAGGTCAATAGCTTGTGGGTCGCAGGTGCTGGTTACAGGCAGCAAGCCGACGATTCGCAATAGTCCCAGCTTGTTTTAACTGGAACTATTGTGGTTTGTCATCTTGTTAGATGGAGTTTAAATTAGCCCAATATACGAGAATCTAAAGCTTGCCTGTGTTACTAGTTAACATGAAATCATGACATTTTTGCTTCTTCTCTGTTCGTTTTTTTGTGAATGATTGGTCCATGTTATTCTACTATTCACTATCTTTGATCAAAATGTAAATGCAACATCCACTAAAACGACTTTCCTTATCTGATGACATCATTTAGGCCACAATAATGTTAACCAGTAGCTAAACGGCTATTTAGAAGGTTTTGTTTTGGCAAACTTGCATTCAGTCAAGCTCAATTCTTGTCTGTTTCACAATTCAGTCAGTTCCCAAGAAGAAAATCACGGTTTCTCATCAAATATCCTTTTTTACTCCGATCTGAACCTGATACTTAATGCAGGAAAATGCAACTATTTTAAATCCAATCTCAGAACGAACTTTTTCAGTTGTTGAGTTTGTAGTGTCCAGATGTTTATATGTTAAAGTCTGTATGGAGTCTGTACATGGATAATTACTATTGCTATTATAACGTAAAACTGAAGTCTGGATCAGTGCTCATAACCTGTATGGTTAGTGTGGTAAATGGCTGAAGTTTGAACAGTAATTGTGGGTGAAAGGCACACCTGGGCGTATGGAGATAATGGGTCTTGTGTATTCATTTCAGTGTTGGGTTTCAGTTACCTGCAGCGCAGGTACAAGGTCTCCATGGTGAACGCATTACAATCAGAGCTGCTGTGTTAACAACCCCATTTTTTATGGTTTGTTGTGAATTGTTGCAGTCTTCGCCCCTCCCCCTGTCTTTCACACCTTTTAATCTGTTTAGCCAAGTATCCCATCATGCCACATCCAAGAAAAAGTTAACACATTGAATGTTTGTGTTTGTCATGCTCAATGAATTTTGTTTAATGCACTGAGATAGTGTTGCCTGACACTATCTAGAAGTTTTGAGGAATGTTCCAGCTTCAGTGCAAGTTAAATTCTATCAGCGGCATATGTAACATGCTGTTGTTTACCATAGAAAACCATTTAAATTTGTTAAAACATGGAACATTGTGTTTTTGTTGTGATGCACTACTTTGTGCACCGGGAAACAGATAAGCTGATAATTATTTAATGCTATGGCTGATATTAAATAAATAAAAAAATAAAGCAAGCACTAAAAAAATAAGAACCACACTAATGGATATTGTGGCCTCAAATTAAGAATTTGTTCACACCATTTCACGTTTTATTCATTAATTCCCTCATTTCAGTCAAATTGTAAAGCTGTGCAAATGTATTCTGTAGTTTTAATGTAGTGAAATTGTGACCACATTGTAGTAATTTGTTCCCTTGTTTTCATATGGTTAAAACGTTGACCACAATTTAACTAAAACCAAACTTAATTGGTAACATGGTATTTTTCAATGTTTTAAATGCTTCAAGGTAATTTAGGCATCACGACATTATATGTTTGTGTTTGTCATGCTCAATGAATTTTGTTTAATGCACTGAGATAGTGTTGCCTGACACTATCTAGAAGTTTTGAGGAATGTTCCAGGTTCAGTGCAAGTTAAATTCTATCAGCGGCATATGTAACATGCTGTTGTTTACCATAGAAAACCATTTCAATTTGTTAAAACATGGAACATTGTGTTTTTGTTGTGATGCACTACTTTGTGCACCGGGAAACAGATAAGCTGATAATTATTTAATGCTATGGCTGATATTAAATAAATAAAAAAATAAAGCAAGCACTAAAAAAATAAGAACCACACTAATGGATATTGTGGCCTCAAATTAAGAATTTGTTCACACCATTTCACGTTTTATTCATTAATTCCCTCATTTCAGTCAAATTGTAAAGCTGTGCAAATGTATTCTGTAGTTTTAATGTAGTGAAATTGTGACCACATTGTAGTAATTTGTTCCCTTGTTTTCATATGGTTAAAACGTTGACCACAATTTAACTAAAACCAAACTTAATTGGTAACATGGTATTTTTCAATGTTTTAAATGCTTCAAGGTAATTTAGGCATCACGACATTATAATGTACAGTATGAAATAAGGATACTTGTATTAAGATTTTCTCAAGATGTTTTTATGATTTTACTGAATGTTAGAAGGTTATCTGAATATAAAAATAGAGGAAATAATACACACATCAATCTGTACCTGTCTGCAAAGTACTGGCTACATTGAACAAAGCAAATTTCTCTAACTAATTCTGTGGGCAAAACAAAACCCGAAATTAATTTGACTAGAATAGAAGTCCTGCTGCTAAAAATGATAATTTAGCATTATTGCTATAAACATTGCAGGCTTGTTGTCAATTCATTGGCAGTTTATGGTAACAGGCAACTGAGCAGAGCTGTAAACAAGGTTTCTGTAAAATCTTTAAGTTCCCAGTTTAGCTTGTTTTGCAGTAACCCTTTAAACAGTTGTTTCTTAGCTTAGTTTGTTGTACCAGATGCTTGTTGTGTAGCCACCCCCCTCTGGTTTACATGTGGTTTTCATTGAGTCGTTTGACTGTGGAATTTTAATATGTGGTGGGCAGGCCTGTGTGGTTGCATGGAGTTTCTGCTGAATACACTTAATTCACTCTTGCTTTAGTCATACACAAAATCGTAATCCAGCCATCTTCTGTTGCTTTGTTTGTCTCAACTGTTGGGACAAAGACGCAAGTTATTAGCAGAACTGTGGTGTATTAATTTGTTAGTCACATGTAATCTTGGTTTAATGGGATAGTTGTTCCAACCTCTATTAATTTCTTCCACTGAGCACAGAAGCAGATATTTTGATATTTTTAAGAATATGGATAACCAAACAGTTGCTGGCCCCCGCTGACACCAAGTCAATGTGAACCAGAAACTGTCTGGTTACCCACGTTCTTCAAAATATCTGCGGTTGTGTTCAACAGAAGAAAGACACTAGTAAAGGTTTTGGGGAGTAAATGATGAGTTTCCATTTTTTTGTGTGATCTCTTCCTGGGTTGAAATGTGGTGTTTGATACCATGCACAGAGGTTTAGTTGTATAAATGTCCTGGTCCTTCACATAGACATGTTCCGTCCTTCTTTAAATCAAAGGAAAGTGTGAAAGAGCAAATTCAAGATTCAGTCTGCACACTCATTCCTCTTGGTTGACAACCCGGAAATGTAAAACTGCCCCTCTCCCCATGGTCTACTGAGATCTTGCTTCATAGGTTTCTGGTGGGGGGATGTCTTGTGGTCGATCTCTGACCCCACCCAGCCTTAAGGCTATGCTGTTTGCACAGGAAAACTGAATGCAACATTGTCCATTTCCTGCGTTCAGAGTTTTCTGATGTAAACTTGTCCTTATTTGGACATCCCACTATCATTCTTTCCTTTACTGGTGGTTGTTGGCATTCCGGTTAAAGGTTGGATTAGTCTACCATCGTTTTTTCCTCAAGTGTTCTTTTTGTAAACCTCAGAACTGCCTGTCTAAACTTCTTAAAAATGACTGAAACCTGTTTGACCTGGAGTTTTTCGCTCTCTTTTTTTTTTCCCAGAGAGGATCTGACGAGCTGTTCTCCTGTGTTTCCAGTGGGCCCTATATCATGAGCTCAGCAGGTAGGATCCGTTTGCTCTTGAGTCATTATTTCCTTGGTAAATGCGTTTAGTTTTTTCCCATCCCAGCAACCCGCCCTGATCATCTGCTTTCCACACAGCCAACGACAGCAAGAAGTTCAAAGGTGACATCAGAAGTCCTGGCGTCCCGTCCAGAGTTATACATGTCCGCAAGCTGCCCAATGACATCAACGAAGCGGAGGTCATCTCCCTCGGCCTTCCCTTTGGCAAAGTCACCAATCTGCTCTTGCTGAAGGGAAAGAACCAGGTATCATTCCCTCTCCATTTGACACTCTTAGAATTAGCTCGAAGTTGACTTAACGTTGCTGTCCACCAAAAATTTTTGGATTTTTCATACATGTAGTAAATGCTGTACTTAAACTGGAAAATATTTCCATTGTCCCCAATATTTGTGTGCTTAGGTATTGTTTTTGTATGGAGTAAAACGTTTATCTTAGCAATGTTAACATCAGATTGTAGTATTTCTTTTGCTAAACATTGTTTGTGAGTGTCTTAATGTGTTGTACTATAACAAATAGGGATGTAACGATTCACCCAACTCACGATTCGATTCACACTTTTTTTTTTTTACAAAATGAGATTTAAGACAAATTATCAATTAAATGTGTCCTTTTATTATTGCTTGGACAAAATGCTGCACATTTCTTTGTGATATTTAAATAGAACACTATAATAATAATAATATACTAATATAGCACTTGCATATTATTGCTCTTTTATTGGTTTTGATTGCTTCTATTGTCCTCATTTGTAAGTCGCTTTGGATAAAAGCGTCTGCTAAATGACAAAATTGAAATATAATGTAAATGTAAATAACAAAACTAAATAGAAATTTTAAAACAAGCCCCAAATCAAATAAATCTCTTCATATAAACAATAAGCCTTTGTCTGCGCTCTTTTTTTAATCATGATCCAAACAAAGATGCTGCATACATGCAACATGAGTAGCTTTCAATCTAAATTAGATTGTATAATTTCGAAATTTGAAGCAAAAACTGAACGTTGACTTCAGTTTTGTGAAACTATACATAAACATATCTGCATGAAACAGCAGACGAGCTGAATGAGATGCAGATTCACTCTCTGCCAGCAGGTGGCGCTTAAAGCGTTTCCTGGTTTCCGCTGTAAACAAAGCAGCGCTGCACTTATGAACTTTAATATGCATTATACAGAGGCAAGAGGAAAAGAAAAATGCCATTTAAACTTTTCTAAAGACAGTAAGTTCCCCTCAGACGTACATTCATATAAACTCCGACACCTAAATGAATCGCCATTTGTTTAGCATCTCAACCGTTTTAAATCGTCACATATTTGAATCGATTTTCAACCGGCTTGCGGTTAATCATTACATCCCTAATAACAAATCAAGGTAATGATAGATAACTAAAACCATAAAAAAAATTGAAAAAATAAATAGTAACTAAAATAAAATAAAACTTGCAGCTATTTCCCAAGGAAATGTTTCTAATTTATTTAGTTTAACTTGAACTAAAATAAAAATATTGAAAACTATATAGACATAAAAACTAATAAAATGACAAAAATAAAATTAAATATAAAACAAACTAAATCATACTATTAATAAAAACTAATATATTGAGACTTAAAATTAGCATTTTTGAAAAATGAACAATTTTATTCAGCAATGATGCATTATATGTTGATCAACAGTGACAATGAATACATTTATAATTTTAATAAACATTTATAAATTATTTCAAATAAATTGTTCTTTTGAAAAACTTGGGGAAAATTTTATATTTATATAAATCTATATAACTGTTTCTACAAATATGTTAAGCATCGCAACGGTTTTCAAAGTTGATAATTAGAACTGTTTCTTGAGCAGCAAATTAATATAATTTCTGAAGGATCATGTAATGCTGAAGACTTGAGTAATGATGAAAAATCAGGTTTGCACCACAGGGTTTTTTAAAGTATATTAAAATAGAAAATCCATTCATTTAAATTGTAATAATATTTCACAATATTACTTTTCTTTCTTACTAGTTTTGTGACCAAATAAATGCCATCTTGGTGGACAAAAAAGACTTTAAAATTAAAGTTCTACATTAAAGAATAGGTAATTTCTGTGAAACTGAGTTTGTTTAGCTAGAAGTGTTTGTGTCCATGTGCTTGCATAGAGCATTTTCCGGGCTTAAGGCAAATTGCATGATCTGCATTTTTGTGCAGGCTTTCTTGGAAATGAATACTGAAGAAGCAGCCCAGACGATGGTTACTTACTACTCCTCTGTAACGCCCGTCATCAGAAATCATCCCATCTTCATGCAGTACTCAAACCACAAAGAGCTAAAAACAGACAACTCACCGAACCAAGTGGTATGTGCTTCAAATTCTCTCAGCCAGCACATGCACTACGTACTGGGCTGCATGTGGCTTCATTCCACATTTCTGACATATTGATTCATTTGTAAATGTTTTCACATAAATAAAGACAGACGTATTTTATAACAATGAGTTATTTGCAGCAGCTGTGCACTGGATGATTTATACGAGCCAAGGGTCTGATTGGCTCTCTTCTGTGCATCTTGTTTTTTGTTTTCCGCATTTTCCACACTGCCCGTTTTCCTCTCTAAACACAGTTTACATGCCACTAAAGGCCTTTAGCTGTGAATTCCACAGCTGTAGCCCATCAGCGCTCATTTGGAGGATTGCTTAATTTACTTTGCTTCGTTCTGTTTGAGTAAACACAGAAACGTAGCTTACAGTGTTTACTCCATACTCTGCTGTCTACAAATTTCACTCATGCATTTTCAGACATAAAAATGTGCATATGGATGCATAGGTGTAAAATTAATGCAATAAAAAAATGGTCATTTAAATGTAATATGCGTGATTTTTGGTGTCTACAGAGGGCACAGGCAGCACTGCAGGCGGTGAATGCTGTCCAGACAGGTAGCATGACTCTAGGTGCCGTTGACCCATCTGGTTTGACTGGCCCCAGCCCTGTCCTGAGGGTCATCGTTGAAAACCTCTTCTACCCTGTGACCCTAGATGTCCTGCACCAGGTATACACTTGCTCTAGTTCCTTTCTTACTAAAGAGAACATTTTCATCATTTGCTCACTCTCAGCCATAAGGCTTTGGCTAATTTTGGTAACACTTTAAATTCTTTATGTGTAATGCATTTTGTATTTTCAATAATAATAACCAGAGTTAAAATGCATTATAATATTTGAAGGTTCGTTGTAGGGCTGGGTTTTGACAGAAATTTCACGATTCGATTCGATTCTCATTCACAAGCTTGCGATTCGATTCGATTCAATATAAATTATTTTGGATATATATCAGGTACAGTACATGCCAAAGTTTCTCAAGGAAAAGAAATCTCTCAACTAATGCTGTAAAATATCCATGAGAGTCAGTTGGTACTGCATTACTATAATATTGAAGGTTAAAATGGACTGATTTGTTAAAATTACACTTAATGAAGTCTTTAAAATAATAGTTACAATTACATAATAATATTTCTACTTCAATTAATTTATTTGAAATATAAACATAATGGTGGCTGTCATAAAAACTTGATGGATTTATTCAAACATAAATTAAACATTGAAGAACAGTATATTATATACATTTATAATAAATGTTATATGGTGCATATATTTAGCAAAATGCCCCTCTCTACAGTTTATTTTTCTATCTGACTAATGAGTTTGTTCACCGAATATGTTTTTCTGAGGTAAATGTGATGTTATGTGACATTGTTTACAAGCCGTTATATTGACGTCTTTGCGCGGCTGAAACACTGATTGACAGATTATATGAGACAGGATACGGATTGTAAAGTTATACTCTTTCTTTTAACTTGCCTTCGGATGTTTAGTCATGTTTATTTTGTGCTGAAACTGGTATTAATGTGGAGGAGATGATCAGTTCACGTGCGCCTCATGCTGCCGCTCGCGTCTGAGGCGCTACAGCGATCTGTCCCTCCACATTAAACAGCGCCAAAACAGCATTTATTGTTTGAATACTGCAATACAATGGAAAGAATTTGAAATCTGAGACTGTTTCATATTAAAAGTACCAAAGCACAATGCTTATTGCGATTTATTGGATGGGAAGTGCCCTTCAATGTTCCGTCCATTAACTGAAAACAGGCTAGACTAATCGATTCTTGGGATTTAAGAATCGATATCCTTCCGTAAAAATGAGAATCAATTAATATCGAGATATCGATATTTTTTACCCAGCCCTAGTTCGTTGTCATGTGTTTTAATTATAACTGTGGTTACAATTATTCATGAGATCATACAATGCATTATACAGTGCATTATAAGGCATAGTTAATGCATTCAAACTACTTTTATAATGCATTATATAAAAAGGCTGTAACTGTTGGCAGTTATGGTTGTTCGATACTAAAATATGTTTGGTTCCTCAACAGATCTTCTCGAAGTTTGGCACTGTGCTGAAAGTGATCACTTTCACAAAAAACAACCAGTTTCAAGCTCTCCTCCAGTTTGTTGATGGCCTGATGGCACAAAATGCCAAGCTGGTGAGTAGCGCCATCTATCAGCCATAATCTCTAATGACAAGTATTGAAACTTTGTTTTTCATCAGAGAGTGCCTGTGCATGGTTGCTAGGTTGAGAAGATTTAGTTAACCACTGAGCAGAAAATGTATCGATTGGGGATGTATCAAAAGCTCTGATTGGGGGATTTAAACACATGAAATCTGGCAACCGCAATCATGAAAGCTTTTGAGGCTTGTTACCAATGCAAGATGATGCAAATGGCAAATTAAAATATGCCTTTGTGATAAATAATCAGCGGGCAAATATTGCAGATGATTATGCTTAATAAATCGAGAGAAACAGAAATCATGATTAAAATGCAATTCATCATGCAGCCCTGTCTGAATGGAAGCAACACTGAACTGACTTGAGTTAAATAATAATGACACTTATTGTCATTTAGAGCCATTTTACAGCAGAATCTGAACTGTCTTCATAGTTGAGTTTCCATAATTGATTCTGCTGTTTATCGGTGAAGCTGCTTTGACATAATCGGTATTGTATAAAGCGCTATAGAAATAGGTGACTTGACTCACAAACTGTGAAAGAATGTGAAAGTCTACATTTAAAAATCTCTCTTTCCTCAGGCTCTAGATGGACAGAACATCTACAATGGCTGCTGTACCTTGCGTATCAGCTTTTCCAAACTTACCAGTTTAAACGTCAAATATAATAACGACAAGAGCCGTGACTACACTCGCCCGGACCTGCCAACTGGGAACAGCCAACCCACTATTGAACATCACGCTGTTGCTGCTGCTTTTGGTACAAAAGGCTATTAAATTACATCCAGCACACTCTATTCTTAACCACATTCCCATTCTGCCTCTATTAGAAAGTGTAAATGTCCTGGTATTTTGCAGCTGCTCCCGGGATCATCTCTGCCGCACCATATGCAGGAGTGCATGCCTTCCCTCCGGCTTTTGCTATCCAGCAGGCTGCAGGTACGAGGGGAAAAAAAGCTAGACTCTAATGCCTTCTGTATTTCATATTTGTCTGAATTCTTGTGTCTTGTATAGCATAAAATTGAATCCATCTTGAACAGGGTTGACAATACCTGGGGTTCCCAGAGCCCTCGCCTCGCTGACCATTCCCGGGGCAGTGGCGGCTGCGAGCAGACTGGGCTTCCCCGTCCTCCCCGGCACCCACTGCGTCATGCTGGTCAGCAACCTGAACCCTGAGGTTAGCAGTTCTCAGTCTCTAATAGATATGTTGCTCAAGATGTCTATTTAGATATTAGGACTTTGAGGATTTTTTTTGTTGTTGTTGGATGGCTGATGTTACTATTGTGCCATTTTGTTCTTAATAATCCTTACATTTTATTCTTCTTATGTTTCATTTTTTTTAATGAATGAGAAATGCATCAGTTGTATCAAATGTAGAGTCAAATGGCAAAATTTCAACAGTTGACCACACACTTTTTATATTTTACGTTTCAATGTATGTTTTTATAATATAATGTAAAAATATTGGTTTAAATAGTAATAATTTAAATGAAAGCAATGGTATCACAGCAAAACTAAATGGAACGCTTTAATTGAAACAAAATGTTTTTTTTTGTATTTAATTTAAATTAAAACTTTAGCAATGACACCACAAGAACTTTGATGAGAAACATTTTTTAAATCTATAAATTAACAGGTAATTTAAATTGCAGCAAAAGCACCACAACAAAAATTTACAAAATGACTACTACTTCTTTTTTTTTAGTTTATAATGTAAAAATGTTGATACAAATATTTCCAATTTAAAAATGACAATAGGGCCTTTCGCACCACTTTAGTTCCAGAACTAAATGTACTGTACTAAAGTACTGGGACGATTTTTTGCGAACTATTTCCCAGTACCATTTAAAGGGTTGCATTCGCACCGACAGTGTGTACTAAGAAGTGACGTAAGCCGGTCGACAGCGACGTCATTTGTGCACAGCGTTCAGCAACGGAAACAAAGAAGAACAACATTAACAACAGGAGGATGGAGGACATTGTGATCGGAGCTGTGTTTTTGTTGTGTCTCGCGGGTTTCAGAATAATGGACATGGAATGTCGATGCATACGTAAAGCGATTGAAAGAACGGAAAGGAGGACTAAAAATCTCCAACGACAACTGGCCGTGCTACATTTGCTACAAGTGCCTGCACTTCAGCGTCCGTCCATCTATCGCTGTTCTCCATACTTGCGAAATAAGTTGGCACAATGTTTACTGTATGTTTACACGGCATTTTAAATCATGGCGGGTGAGGGTGTTTTCATGCACGTTTGGCCATTCAATGTCTACTTACGTCACAGGTAGTACCAGTTGTGCTGGTTAGACCCTGCTCTGGAGTAGGAGCTAATTTGGTTCTCGAAAAAGGCAGTCCGGTACTAAAATTTCTGGCGGTGCGAAAACGCCAAAAAGTGGGTAGTTCCACAATTAGTTCTGGTACTATGAAAAGGTTCCCGCGGTGCGAAAGGCCCTAAAGGCACCACAAAATGAATACTGGAGGAACACACTTTTTGTCACAATTTATAAAATAAAATGTAATGTAATAATGTGTAGTAGTATAAATATTAATCATTTAAATTGAAATAATGGCAATGTCAGAAAAAAATCTAATAAAAAATATAAAAATATAATTTATATTATATTGTAAAAAATTATTGGTATGAATATTAATGCTTAATTTAATATTAATATTTAAATTAAAACAGTTGCACCACACAGGGCTTAACGTTCTCCGTCACCGTGCTGGATCTCCGGCATGCAGCGTTCGGCTGCGGAAAAAAATAATCCTACATTTAAAAAAATAAAAAAACGTATTGATATCACTTTCGAGTCCATGAGTTCGCCTTCCAATGGTATGAGAGAAGCACAGCTTTCACTCTCAACCAAACTAAGTTCTCCGTCACCGTGCCGGATCTCCGGCATGCAGCGTTCGGCTGCGGAAAAAAATAATCCTACATTTAAAAACAAAAAAACGTATTGATATCACTTTCGAGTCCATGAGTTCGCCTACCAATGGTATGAGAGAAGCACAGCTTTCACTCTCAACCAAACTAACATTACTAGCCAATCAGAATTTTTTGCTCTTATAAACACGAGACGCGCATAATAGTATCCAATTGCAGAGGCCCAGGTATGATGAATGGAGAAGCACGACACGTTGAAAAAGCTCCATCTAGTGCATATTTACATAGAAAAACTAATTAAAAAGCGTAGCTTTGTAAACAGCTCAGAGTAATCACGTAATCTCCTTAAGAACGATATGATTGCCAGAACAAATTTACCAGGATTTTTGAAAAGGTCCTGTTCACACATGACATGATCTCTTAATGGTAACTTACCAGTAAAGACTAAAGGCTAAACTCTTCCTCTGAATATGCTGTGAATTTAAATTGCTTAACGTTCATCTGGGAAAACTGCATTTTCTCACTAGATTTGTAAAGTAAATCATTTATAAACCTTTGCCAACACAGGAGAATACATCATATTTCTAAATATGCCATTTATTGTACATCGCGATTTCAAAATAAACGTTTCTGAGTTTGCATGTGGCCAAATATTAAAATTGAATGGATTTAAACATCGTTTAATCACGCTGTAAAGTGAAACGTCACCAGGCCATTGGCACTCTCTGCAGGTATTTATAATAATACATAATGTACTTAAGTTGGTTATGTTCATATTATGTATAGGCATATTACATTAT